CAGTACATTTTATGATGGATTGCTCGTAGTTTAGAGCTGTGTATCTGTAGAATTTACAGTTGTTTTTGGTTCAGATGTTTGTGTTTTCATTACAGAGACCGGGCGTACAGCTCAGGGAAAGCCATGTGTGAGCGACTGAAAGACTCCATACCAAGGCAGATGTTTGAGATTGCTGTACAGGCAGCTATTGGCAGTAAGGTCATTGCAAGGGAAACGTAAGTACAACATCAGCCCGAAGCTTTGTTAGAATGAGATGAGATGCACAGCAGTGTATATAGAAAAAGCACTATGAATTGTATTTGTGTATTAAATGTGCTGAATAGATTAATTTAGCCTTAAAAATGTGACATGACAATGTTTGTTTCTTTCAGAATTAAGGCCTACAAAAAAAATGTTCTCGCTAAATGTGTAAGTAAAAGTTTCTCTTAACTCTCAGAAGTTTTTGAATCTACAAATGTACCACAAACAAACTGAATTATATATATATATATATATATATATTGTTTTGTGTTGGTAGTACGGAGGTGACATAACACGTAAGATGAAGCTACTGAAGAAACAGGCGGAGGGTAAAAAGAAGATGCGGCTCATCGGCACTGTGGAAGTTCCCAAAGACGCCTTCATTAATGTTCTGAAGAGGAAAGAAAAATAGACTGCGATACCATTAGTGTATTATTATATGATGATATCATTATTATATGCAGCAGGTCTTTGTTATTAAAAGGCACTGCTAATTTATCTTAATAAAATGGTCATTGTCGCTGCAGACTGCTGTAATTGTGCTGATTTCTACGATATTACTTCTCCTCTCTTTTTCAACAGTTTTTAATATTAATTTCTGTGCAAAAACCAATAAAGAGATTAAGAAAAGGAAAAAGGAAATATTACACGCTGTTCAAAATGAATGATTGTCTAATGCTTTATTAACACTTCTGTTTGTGATTTCTGCTTTATTATATGATGACACGGTTTTACCAAACTATGCAGAAGAATGTTGAACCTCATTTAATGTTAAAAATACAAAATAATAATACATCATTAAATGTGCCTCACACACCTCAAGTCACTGCATACAGTGCAGTTAGTGTGGATAATTATTTGATTGCATTCTGAGACTTTCATCAGTCACTCAACAAATGAAATGTGGTAATTGGTTTATCATTTAAGTAATTTATTCTTTCACTCTTGGTCAGACAAAATACGCAAGTTTTATAACTTCAGCAGTCATAACTCAACATTTTATAGACGAGAAGGATTAAGCAGTTAAAACTGATAATTTATCAGGCCATGATTTATTTTTCATGAAGTGTGAAGAAGAACAGTAGATCTTCTGGTTCATCGTCTCATCATTTTCCAACAGTGCCTGCAAAGACAAGTGTTGTTTATGGTAAATGTTGGTATTTAAAAAGACTTTTTTGTTTTGGTCTCCGGTCTCCATGTGAGATGATTTTGAATTTGACTTTAACCAGGATGTATTTTTTAACTATTACAAAGTCAAATTTTCACTACTTTAAATGAAGAAGTTAATGTTGTAACTTTGGTGTTTTTGATTTACAACTAAACTAACTAACGTCCTAGCAGCGAGTTGCTGCAGGATGGTGTAGGGAGACTTACCCCCCCCCCAGGCTGTGCCTTCTAATTAAAACACTTAATCCCTACCAGCTCTTGTTGGTAGCTGAGCTGACCTGACTTGCCTCTAAAGAGAGTGATATAAATTACAATTCTTACCATGTTTTGTGCCAACTGTGCTGCGTTTGTGAAAAAGTAAAATCTCAAAGCCTGTCCTTTAAGCAGTGTTCCCAGTAGATGGCAGCAGCAGCTCAAACACACAAAAGAGCAGAAAGGACGTTGATTCCCCCCTGAACTAATTTTCAATCAGACCTCATCAGCCTCAGGCTCCATAAATGTCAGTTTTAAATCATATAAACTCCAGACAGTCCACTTACCTTCTAACCAGCAGTTAGAGGCTCGATGAAAATATCTCATTGTCCCTATGTGCTGCACATACTTTGCAAATTAAAGCGAATGGGATTTAAGAGACTAATTGGTATTTA